TAGCCCTTTCTCTACCTCCAGTCTCTCTCCTATTTTTATCAGTTATGGGTCAAGGAGGCCTCAGAGGTCTCCAAAACAACACAAGCTATTGCCCCTGATTACTCATCATAACTACATGGTAAGACCCTATTGATGAAGATACCATACTTATGGACTTGAAGACACAGAGGACTCAGTTTAAAACCAATTAGGAAACATCCTCCCTGTTGACTATGCTTTTTCAGTATATGCTTTAATTGAAATTTTGTGCATTTCATAGAATAATCTTACTCATATTTAGATCCCCTTCCCATTAGCATTGCCCCCATATCTTTCCCACCAGATTTCATGAATTCTGTCATATTAAAGCCCATTGAGTCAAGTTTGTGTCCTGAGATGTCCCTAATTATGGGATCATACATACTGGGGATATGGGCAGGAGGCCTTTTGGCTATCTTTAAAAATGACAGAAGGTGTTATGCGGGCACCTGGGGGAGAAAAGCCATCAACGATCACTCAGGACTGGACACTGCAGGCTACAATACTGATCTGCTAGGAAAGATGTTCCCAATGATACAATTGTGACATAACTGTTATGGGATAACTGACCACTGTCTGACTGGATTTGAGGCCTGCCCCACAGGACAGAATTTGATTCCTGATACGGTAGGGAACAATGGAGCTGGAACTGACCTGTAAGTCACCTCCCCTGAAAGCTAGCTCTCAGACCTTTGGATAGCACTACGCAATCTGGTAAGGAAAAACATAAATCAATGGTCCAACCACAGCTTCAAGAACTAAAATCCACATCAATGGCTGGCACGCCAAACAATATTAGTGCAATAGTGGCACTTTTGTCTTGGGGTAATCAACCAATACCTAATGGGCCTTAAAGCCTACTTAATGGAAGGAAACTCATGTGTGGTACTGTAAACATAGCCAAATACGCATGGTTGAAAAGGTCTTAGAAATTAGAGAAACCCCAAAGTTGTCACATCACTAGACATATGTAATTTCTTACTCTGCAAAATGTGGATTCTTATTTTTACAGATAAGTATCCCAGTTACCATGCATCAAAGAAGTCTCTTTCACAACAGACAGAGACTATTACAGGATTCCACAACTGGTCTCACAAAGGCATTGTCTAAATTTCCCAAGCCTACGTGGCACATCTACAATCCAACCTCTACACCTAAGGCTCATGGAACATAGAACAAGGGGTAAAGAGGGGACTAATGCATCACTTAATTCTCATCAATGAAGTTCCCACATACAACAGAGGGCCAGGAACACAAAAGGTCACAAATGACCAAAGAGTGGAGAGTAAGAAGTCTGAGGAGTGTGAGTCCAAGGTCAGGATTCTTATGTTACACTCTACCCACCCCAGGCTCAGGAAGGAGGCAGAAGAGGAGGGAGAAAATAAGATCCAAGGACAAGGTGCACATCATATGTAAGTAGAGTCCTACAAGCTCCTGGGACCTTACTCATATGAACCTACAGCAATGGTGTCAACATTCACAAGACCTACCCAAACTCAAGCAGATAAAACGTCAGCACAGACCTGTGGAAATGGGCAACAATCCCCAACCTCAGTCGAAGAATTATTGGCATCTAGTTACTGCTGGGTGAAAAGGGCCGATCTTCCTACAGGGAGGGACTCTACATAGGCTGCCTAGACCCAGTGGATGAACTTACACTGAGGGATATCTGGGACCCTCACTTGACATGATAGACCTTAATACAAATGACAGAATGTGTAAATTCCAATGGGAGGCTATGAGAGGGCCATTGGTCAAAAGGGAATAAAAATGATTAAGTTCAATAAAAAATATACCAAAACCAATTTAGAAATACAAGAAATTTCATTTTTCTAGTTATATGACAGAGAAGGTTTTCCCTAGATTTGATGTCCTCTCCAGCCGTGTATGTTTGGCTATGTTTACAGTGTCAGACATAAGCTTCTTCCCATTGGGAGGTCTGGGAGAAGGGTTCTAAGTATGATTAAGATTTAATCTATCGAACACATATGAACTCAATAAAAACATTCAATAAAAATTAATAAATATATCTGACTATGTGAGATAATGGATTTTTAATTTGCTTCATTACAATAAACTATTTATATATCCCATAGGATCGTTCTGAGTCCTTTATTATACACAATAGACTTTGTTTTTAACAAAATGGCCAAGTTCTTTCACTCTGCTAAAAAGTACCCAAGGGTTACTTAAATAATTCTTAGTAAAAGTCAAATAGCAGTTTGCAGAGCTTGAAAGTTTCAAATTAGCGTTCCATCTCTCTCCTGTTGCTCTTCTAGTAATTACTCCTCTGGTCACTTCAGTCTCCTGGAACGCAGCTGGTGTCTCTTCACTCTGCTCTTACAGCTTCTGCTCCCTGGGATGTTCTTCTTAAAACTTTCCCCATGGTTCAGCTCCTCACTACAGTCTCCTCTTTGTCTAGAAGTCACAGTCTGTGTCACATTTCTTAAAGTTGCAGTGTACTGTCCACATTCCTGATGTTCTAAACTGATCTTTTATAGCACTTAAATTCAGTATTTATTTATAGAATGTATTCTCTTTCTTCTTCCACAACTACTATTTAAATTTAGTCAAGAAAAACTATTTTGTCTTACTTATTAGTTTCTAGAGTATTCCAGGGAGATAATGGGCCCATAATAAATGTCAAAATAAGACACTATGTCTGTGAGCACTGAGTTGTCTTATGTAGAAATACTGATACCCATGAAGCAAAAAACTAACTCATTTCAAAACCTAGAAATAAACTTCCACAGGTGGACTATTCTACAAAGAAAGTCCAACTTAGAAAAAACAGTGGACAGTAACAGGGATGATAGAGTATATGGTCTCCAGTAGGGGTGGTGGCTATGGGAGGGTGCCATTTGGGAACTGGGTATATAGATGAATAACATTGTGTGACATGTTCTGTTTGATATACACATTAAAAAGTAAACAAATAAAAAATGAGTTATATTTGAGGAGGAAGCATAAAAATTTACTTCATGTTAGTTAGTAGAGGTGATAAAAGTTATCATTGAAATCTACCTGATGACTTCATATCCTTACTCAGGTGCCAAGGATCTGAGGGTAGCAGATTATGACTAGTAATAATCAGACACAAAGAGATTAGAGACGATGTGTA